ATATCATTCCCTGTTTGATAGACTTTTATCAAAGTGCAGACACACAAACCCATGCAATCATTACATTTCCTGCTCCAAATCTTACCACATACTTGAAAAGTACTAAAACTGCAAACATAGGAAGGTATATTTCAAAAATGAGTGAAAAGTACAGAAAAGCCAACAAAATAATTGAACAAATATTTCCTGTGGTTTTATATCAGAGTTATCTTAGCAAGTGACAGGTAAAGTTTTTCAGTTCACAAAAAAAGTAAAACACACCTATTCGCTACTGAACTCGTAGGAATCAGGAAAATACTAAATCAAAACAACATTTGTTTGGAACTGAAAAACTATACTCACACACACAGAGATCCATGTGGAGTTGATGCAGGCTTACCTGATAATTCAGGTAATTCCTACAAAATTGAAGCTAAGCAATATAAATGTTGTAATGTGCTACTGGTATCTGTGCATTTAGATACGTCATTTAGATAGTGAAATAAAAAATTTTCAAGTTTGTAATTATACTAACACAATTACATGAATATAAAACAAAATGACAACCAAATTTCATGCAATTATTTGCATATAAAAGTTATAAACTCTCTCACAGGTGTAAGGTCCTGAGTTCAATTCCCAGTACCAAAAAAATGAAAAGTTATAATCTTAATTTACAGTTTGTTGAAATAATTCTTTGAATAAAATCCCATGACAGTCAATAGACTACAGAGACTTGTAACTGCATTTAAAGTCTCAAAGCAAACTTACAGTTCTTAATTTTAAATTGGTACACTAAAAATTTATACACTACATGATTTTAACTAAGGTGACAGAACAGGGGAGGAACACAAATAGGAAAGGAACCTGGAGGGTAAAGAAAATTTAAAATCTAAAACTTGTAATATCTCATTGCTGATTAGTCACTACTTAGTAGCTCTCTTCCAACTTATAGTCTAAGCCTACATAAATTATGGAAAAGTTATTACATGGTATTTTCAATGAATTACAATTTGACCAGACTTAAAAATTTATGTATTTTAACACCTAAGTACAGGAATTATTCTAAACCCCAAAAGAGGAAATTAGAAAGTATAGTAAACACACAAAATAAATATACACAATCATTGCATTTCCTCCAAATCTAAGAATATAGAACTTTTTTAAAAGAAAGGATTACAGTTGCTTTATAGCAAGACTAAATTAATATCAATCTGAATTCAAAATTTTAAAGTCTCAAATCTATAAAATTATTCAAGGTAAACATGTCTATTTCTTTCTGATACCAGTAAACTAAAAGATGCTCAGACATATTTTAGCCAGGGCTAATTTCAAGTAACCACAAGACAGAATTATATAGCAGATTCCAATCAGCACAAGAGATAGACTTATGATACTGCTACATCAATAATCACTTTTGTTAGCATCCTCTACTGGTGGTTTCCAAAGACAGCAAGAAGAAATGGTGCTAATGACAGAAAGAGATATACCTACTATTACGTATCAGGTAAATTAGCATGTCGTTATTATCAGCTAGAGTATATTTTTCAAGGAAAAATCTTTTAAAAAGAAGACAACCATATCACATAGGAAGCAACGTGAAAATGGAAAAGAAAAAGATTTAAAATATAATAAAGCATCAAATTATAAATGGTAAAAATCAATTTAAAGAATTCAAATGTCAGTGCTTTATAAATGACTAACATCATTACCATAAAGTTACCATACAAGGGTTGATGTTTTGGTCAAGCCTTGCTCAACTGGCTCATCCCTGTCAAGTTACAATACTCTATACTCCCATTACTATCCTACCCTGCAGAAATATTACAGAAAGGAAATCAAAATGCTTTATTGAAGGCATAGGAGTAAGACCTGCATATCTTATGTCAAAATGAATAAAAATATCATTTGCACATAGCTAACGTAAAATAGCTCTATGACTATTTCCCACTGTCTACATCACTGTTTCTTCATTTAAAAGATTTGAGAATTAACAATTTCCCAGACAATCCTTTTTAAAAATCTGCTACTTAAATATGACTGCATTGCTAAGAAATATTAGCCAATACCCATTCTCAGGTTTCACAACACAATAGCATATAACTTCATTTTTAATTTGCAAAATATGACGCGTAACCAAATAGCATGGCTGTAATGAACAGCAATGGATGAAATGCATTTGAGAACAAAAAGAAATACAAGAATAGAAGCAAAAGTGATGAAAATGGAAGATACCTGTAGTAGTACAGTGCTACTGAACACCTTTTGTTTTCTGAGAGTAATGCATACTGCAGACAAGACGTTTTCTGCTAACAGTCCCAAATCTGCTTTTCTAATATTAAACACAAAGGAAAAACACTGACAGCAAGCGTGGTAAATAAATCCCTCCCATGAGAATGAAAGCAGCAGACAGGAGGGGGCTGACATACATGCAGGAGAAAAACTAAACACCATCTTTTTTTCTACCTGCACAAGTTGCCATTTGCTGCAGCGATCAAGAATCTCTTTTTCCTGTTGATTTCAAGTACCTTTCAGGATAGCTTTTTTCTCTTAAGTCATCTGTTGATATGCCTTACGAGTATAATATTCATATCACAGGATCTCTGGGAGAAAAATCCATTCTTTCCTGTTCAGGTAAACATGTTTACAGCAGCTGCACAGACGCTGGGTGGTTCAGACTCACATGTCACACACATGTCGTCAGCAGCAAGAAAAGCCCCTTTCTCTGGCGATGAACATTTTAAATAAGGTAAAAAGCCAAGAGCTTTCAGAACCAACTTACCTTTCATAAAGCCACATCAGCAACAGCGACAACAGCTCAATATAGAACACACTATTTGACGCTAAAACAGGAAATTAAAATTGCAATAGCCTATGCTGTGCTTGCCATAACAAGTCATCTGTCCACAACGAGGCTATCAAATATACCTTTCAATCGTAACTAACAGACATCTTTACAATGTACATGTTTATTTTGAAAAACTAAAATCATTCGTGGAAGCAGTGATTTTAATGAATGCCTACTCAAAAATATCAAAAATATGTTTACGATTGGAAGGCAACATCTTGGAACAGCCTAAAACCCCCGTATCTGCTCCTAGACAGGAAATCCCACACGAAATCTAAAATTGCCAGGAAAGGTTACAAAACCTCGCGTTTCGCATCCCGAGGGGAGGGAGAAAGGGAGCCCAGGCGCGGGGGTGGGGCGGGGGGAGCGCTCCAGAGTTTTCTCTTAAACACATATTTCCCCTTTTTCTGGACGCTACAGCTCTCCGATCAGGGGCGCATGTATTCCCTACACTTAGAAACTCGTCGTAAAAATCACGCAGGAGCCAGAGCAGCTCCCTGTCCGAAACGCACGCGTAATTCCTTATATAGCCTGGGCGCAGCCCGCGGTAGGCCGTTGCCGCCCATTATTATACAAACAGGTACCCGGGCGGGGGCCGCCGCTCGCAGCCCCGGCCGCAGCTGCCCCCCTCGCCGCAGGAACTGTCCAGACAATAACAATCAGCAGACATTTGGCCGCTGAGCAGCACGTAGCGAAGGCACGGGATCGCCCCCCGTTAGCAGAAATACAATTAACTTACACCGTCTGTCCAAACTGGAAAAGGAGACCGTGCAACGGCCACACGTTCTGGGCTCGATCTCTCGCCTCGTCTAGCTATTTTAACTCTCACGCCTCTCAGGCAGAGGGGTGTGTGTTTCCCTGGCACCACGGCACAAATCAATACACACTGCAGCTGCAGCGCAAGCAGCGGCCCGGCGCGTCCGTCGGTCCGTCCGCCCCCTCCCCCACGCCTTCCACCCGAGACCCGGAGCGCCTGCCCAGCTCCATTATCCGGCTCCAGCGCTCCGCGCGTCCGGCCCAGGTAACAACTTCCCCAAGAACCGAAAGAGAAAAGCCGCAGGCGTCCGCACACACTGCCCCATCCCCGCGCGGGAGCCGCCGTGCTCAGGGAGGGGCATCTGTCTGCGCAGCTTCCCGGTCCCCCACCAGGTAACAACTCCACAAACACCCGCTGCCCACGCTCGCCGCCATCCCCAGCGCCCCGGCCGCAGCAAGTAGGCGCCCGCGCCCGCCCTGTCCCTCCCCCGGGGCCGCCCCACAGCTCCCCACGCAGCCCCGGGCCGCCGAGGGACCCCGGAGGGACCCGCGGGTGCCGCCG